CAGGCGAGAGAGAGTAACGAGCAACGAGCAACGCAGGCGAGAGAGAGTAACGAGCAACGAGCAACGCAGGCGAGAGAGAAGAGGTAGGGTAGAGAAGGTCCTCAATTAGGCAGCAGCGAGACTCGGCGCGGATAAACTATCCTCCGGACGCCAAGACGCGCTAGGTCACTTAGTGTGATATTTCAACAGCTAATCGATAAGGCGTATTCTTATTGTCCAATTAAAATCGCGGCTTTCTTGTCGAAATTTGTAGCTATATACTACTTCGCTTCGCTTAGTAGGACTATGTACTAGATATATTTTCCTCTTAGGCTTCAGACGTACTGATAGCCAGTGACAAGGGAAAGCAGACTCAGGCTGTTGTCAAGTCAGAGACTCGATCCAAGGACCCAACCAACCTTCCACCTTCAGCAGGGGCACGAGGTACTTCGGCAGACCTCAATGGGGAACCGGTTCTATTTCATCCCGGTCTCACCATGTGAGGACTCCCGAAAATACAGTACATACTATGAGTATGTAGCGGGTCTGGACGTCGCTTTTGACCTCGTTTTCGATCGCCACGCGTGATTCATCGACGGCTAATGAAGGTGTGATGGTTAGCGACTGTGACTGTCACGATTTTAATAGGCAACCACGTGACTAGCGTGTGGTTGCGCATGCACGTGACCAAGATTTAGCGCGCGGTGGGCATACTACATACCTAGTATCTACGACTCCTTAATTTACTCTTTTTCATGCACCTTGTTCGATCCGTGAGAGTGACTACTATGGCAAGACTTAATAGATTTACGTCTCGCAAGTGCATTCTACTACAACCTCCACCCCGATGCGTACAGAAAGCGACTCGAAGTCGGCGGGGGCCGGGCTACTGGCCGATAGCCAGGAGATCTCGGTGGCGGCAGCCTATAGGAGACCGAAGAAAGGGGATTATCTTCTTGTTCATGTCGACACATGGGTGGCTAGCTGGACCTTGTCCGATGCCTTGCTGTAGTCGTTCAGGTACGTACCCGCCTTTTGGGAACTGGAAGTTTGGAAGTGTTGGGAGCATTCGAGGTTTGCAGCCAGCACGTGCGCCAAGAGGTGTGCTCTACTGGCCCGCGCCGACCATGGAGCAACCCCACAGTTGGAGCCTTGTTGCTCGAGGTATACAGACTACCGCCCGCTTGTCATGTCCTAACAGACCAAATTTGGGCGAAGAGGGGACTCAGTCGCCCAGCTCCAAGCTTCAGGCTCATTGCTTTCCAATAATCTCTTTTTAGAAAGAAAAGGGAGAGAGAAAAAACCCCCCTCGGACCGAGCACAGTCCCAAAGCAGTACGTATAAGAAGTTGGGGATCCCTCTCTCCTCCCTTGTCCGTAACTTTCAATATTGTGGTGTCGAGAAGCACACCTTTCTTTCAAGATGAAGTTCACCCTCGGAGCTCTTGCTCCTTTCCTTCCCCTCGTCTCTCTCTTCGCCCCGGCCGCCCAGGCCGCGAGCAATGACACGACGCCCATGCAGATCAGGCTGGCGTACGCCGGCCCCACGGGCATGGTCGTGAGCTGGAACACTTACGCTCAGTTGTCACAGCCCACGGTGCGCTATGGACTGTCGGCCACGGACCTGAACCTCACCGCCTCCTCCAACGAGTCGGTCACGTACACCACGTCGACGACGTACAACAACCATGTTAAGATCACCGGCCTGAAGCCCAACACCCAGTACTTCTACCAGCCTCAAAACAGCAACTCGTCCACTCCGTTCACTTTCAAGACCAGTATCCCTGCTGGGGATAGCACCCCGTATTCCGTCAGGATGGTGGTGGACTTGGGGCTGATGGGCCCGCAAGGCTTGACCACCCACGTGGGAAAAGGCGCCGCCAACCCATTGGGGCCAAACGACAAGAACACCATCCAATCAGTGCTTGAGGATGACTCGGACTATGAATTTCTGTGGCATCGTAAGCCATCTATCTCCCACTCCATGCGTTTTTCTTTTGTACATTGCGGCTGCTAATCAAACCCCCGATCTCTAGCCGGTGACATTGCATATGCCGACTACTGGTTGAAAGAGGAAATCCAAGGCTTCCTCCCCAACACGACCATTGAAGGCGGAATCGAGGTTTATGAATCGTTGCTCAACCAATTCTACGACGAGATGACGCCCATCACGTCCAACAAGGCATACATGGTCGGCCCAGGAAACCACGAAGCCAACTGTAAGCAACTTTTTGTCCTGAATGGACGCACACAGCGAGACACACACACACACACACGAGGACATCTCCAGTACTAACCGCTTGTGATTTTGCTTTTATAGGTGACAACGGTGGCACGACCGACTCAGCACACAACATCACCTACGACGTGTCCATCTGTATGCCGGGCCAGACGAACTTCACGGGCTTTATCAACCATTTCCGCATGCCCAGCAGCGAGTCCAAAGGCTTTGGGAACTTTTGGTATTCATTCGACCATGGCATGACCCACTACGTCCAGCTCGACACCGAGACCGATATTGGTCATGGCCTGGTCGCTCCAGATGAGCCAGGTGGGAGCGAAGGAGAAGACGCCGGTCCGTTCGCCCGACGAGACGCCCAATTGAACTGGTTGGAAAGCGATCTGGCCGCAGTCAACCGAACCGAGACTCCTTGGATCGTCGTTGGTCAGTTTTATACCCCTTTTTCCCTTTTTCTCTTTTTCCCTTTTCACATCCCACCCGCGAGAAACTCCCTCCCTCCCTCCTTCCTCCCGCGAAACCTCCAAAGAGTGATAGTATTTCTCAAACACTGAAAATGACCATCACCTGTTAACATCTCCCCCCCTTCTCACAGCCGGCCATCGCCCATGGTACGTCAGCGCCAAGAACCGCAGCAGCACGCTGTGCGAAGACTGCCGACACGTATTCGAGCCCATCTTCCTCAACTACAGCGTCGACCTGGTCCTCTCCGGTCATGTTCACGTGTACGAGCGCAACGCCCCCGTGGCCTACACGAACCCGGACCCGGCCGAGCTCAACAACCCCAAAGCCCCCTGGTACATCACCAACGGCGCGGCGGGCCACTACGACGGCCTGGACGACTTTGTGCTCCCGCTGCAGCCGTACTCGCGCTTCGCCACCGACAAGGTGTACGGCTGGAGCAAGCTCACCTTCCACAACTGCACGCATCTGACCCACGACTTTGTCGCCAGTGCCAATGGCACCGTGCTGGATACGGCGACCTTGTACAAGAATCGCACTTGCGCCGTCGAGGCGAAGACGCCGCCGTCGTCGTCTTCTTCGTCCGGGAGCACGGCCACTTCGAGCGGCGCCGCCGCCGCCACGTACACGGGTGCCGCGGGCGTCGTGGAGTCTTCGCTCGAGGCCGTCATGGGTCTGGCAATGCTTGTTGTCGCCTATGTCAGCTTGGTCTAAGTTGGACGCGACCAGGGGTTTCAGCCTCGTATCACCGACGACCTCAGCCAGTCTGTCACGGTTATATACACCAAGTGGCTAATTCACGAGTGAATTAGTTACTTCGTGCTTTTGGCGACCGTCGTGGTGTAACGGTTTGGGTCAACCGTGACACAGTCAGCCAGTGTAGTTCTAAGAGTAAAAGAGCCTTGACTTGAACTTCTTGAAGTCCTGATGTACTACTATCAGTATAGAAAAAGAGCTTGAAAAAGTTTCTCTCTCTCTCTCTCTCTCTCTCTCTCTCTCTCTCTCTCTCTCTCTCTCCCTCACACTATTTTTAGCCTATTGTCCGCTCCTTTCGTTATAGCTATACCTTCGATACCTTAGAATATATAGTAGATTAAATCAATTTTAACTCTATACTACTACGTACATACTATATACTATGTATATAGTACTAGGTATACTAATACTTATATACCCACCCTCTTTAGTTCTAAGCTGATTTAATATATACTAATTTAATAGTACTATATAATTAAAAGCTTTATAGTATAGTATTTAATTTAATTTAAGACTTCTTAAGAACTATTAGTAGTACTACCTTCGGCTTTAACTACTACTACTAGCTTTAAGCTTTAAAAATTAAGGTTTTTCTAAGATTTCAAGGTTTTAAAATAAACTTAGAAGTACTCTAATTTACGCTATAGCTATACCTATATAATAATCAAATTTTAAGTATAAAATCTTAGATTTTACTATAAAGAAGTATTATTATATATATAGTGTATTATATACTAATAGAGTATACCGTATTCCTTAACTTATATAAAGACTAAGGAATTTTAAAAATTTCTTCTAAAGCTTAAATTTTCTTAAAAACTTCTTAAAAGCCTATTAGAAGCTTCTCTAATACTAAAGAAAGGTTCTTATTAATTTACGGACTTAAGACGATTAGTATTAATGCTATCTTAATACTACACTAACTCTCTATAAATACCGGATTAAAACCGGATCGAAACTGGATCAAAATCTACTAAGTATTTTTAGACCTAGCTAAACCCTATAATATAATGATAAATAGTAAGTACTATATTAGATTTTATTAGAGCTCTCTATAAGTAACTAAATATCGATTAATAGACGATTAGGATTATTATAAAACTTTATAAAAAATTTTCTCTATACCTATCTTAAAGCTACTAGGTAGTAATAGTACCTAGCTTAGGTACCTATATTAGGATTATCTTTTTGTCGATCTCTCTAGAAAGCCTCTAGGAAAGAAAACCTTCTTATGATTATAATTAATATAAAAATTAGTAAGTATTCTAAGTCTATAATCCTAATATTACTAATCCTTACTATATAATTACTATATATACTATAATCTCTAATTAGGTAATCTCTAATTAATCTCTAATTTATATAATCTCTAATTAATATCTAATCGATGCCTAATTAATGTCTAATTGATGTCTAATCGATCCCTAATTGATTATATTATATATTTACCTAGTAATCACCTAGTACTAATTAGTATCTATTAATTTTAACCCTAAACGCCTATGAATCTTATAACGTGCATGATAAGCGAGTGAAACAGACAAGCGAGTGAAACACCTCACCAAATTTCCACACCATCCAACTTTCAATATGATTTTCTCCACCACCAGCGATGGCAACTATTAATGAGGAACGAAAAATAAATCTTGCTCTTCAAGCTATCAGAAAAGACCAAAATCTCAGTATCCGGGCCGCAGCTACGATCTACAAGTGTAATCACGTTACCCTGTCTCGACG